CTTGATCGACTTGCTGGGTCGATCCCTCACTTGATCGACGTGCTGGGTCGATCCCTCACTTGATCGACTTGCTAGGTCGATCCTTCACTTGATCGACTTGCTGGGCTATTCTCCTACTTGATTGACTTGCTAGGTCGATCGACTTGATCGACTTGCTGGGTCGATGTATTACGTGATCGACTTTCAAGGTCGATCCCTCACATGATTGACTTGCTGGGTCGATCCCCACTTGATCGAGTTGCTGGGTAGATTCCTCATTTAATCTACTTGCTGGGTCGTTCCCTCACTTTATTGATTGCTTGGTTGATCTTCCACTTATGGATTATGGTTGGCTTAACAAGTATCATAGTTAGCTACCAAGGATCACGATAGGCTTAACAAGGATCATTGTTGGCTCAACAAGAATGGTTGGCTCAACAAGGATAATGATTGGCTTAACATGGATCATAGTTGGCTCAACTATGGTCATAGTTAGCTTAATAAGGATCATGGTTGGCTCAACAAGGATATTAGTTGGCTCAACAACGATTTTGGTTGGCTAAACATGAATTTTGGTAGGCTCAACAAGGATATTGGTTGGCTAAACAAGGATCATGGTTTTCCAACAAGGGTATTGGTTAGCTTAAAAAGGATTATGGTTGGCTCAAGGGGGATTATGGTTGGCTTAACAAGGATTAATTGGTTGGCTTAACAAGGATTAATTGGTTGTCTCAACAAGGCTCATTGTTGGCTCATGAAGGATCATCGTTAGCTCAAAAACGATTATAGGTGGCTCAACAAGGATATTGATTTGCTCAACAAGGATATTGGTTTGCTCAAAATGGTTTGCTTAACAAGGATATTTATTGGCCCAACTAATATATTGGTTGGCTCAAGAAGGATAATGGTTGGCTCAACAAGGATATTGGTTGGCTAAAAAGGATCATGGCTCGCCAACAAGGGTATTGGTTGGTTTAAAAAGGATAATGATTGGCTCAAGAACGATCATAGTTGGCTTAACAAGAATATTGGATGGCTTAACAAGGATATTGTTTGGATCAACAAGGATATTGATTGACTCAACAAGGATCACGATTGGCTTAACAAGAATCATGGTTGGCAAGAAGACTCCCATCTCCTGCAATTTAACATGCATTGCATTCACGAGACTAATCACCATACATCAAAGCTCTCTAATAAATGAACCTTTTAGATTAGTGTGATTGGAAATGCCTTTAAGAAACATTGTTCGATTTTAAATCGTAGCTCTAAAGACAAATAGATGTTCAAAGAAATGTATACACCAAAACCGATATAAATAAAACAGTAGAAAAATGATCGTACATTTACTACTTATAGACATTCTGGACGTTATAAATGTTAACTCAAATTGTGGAATATTTCTTGCGCCAGTATAAGCCTACCAAACATTTCCATCCACGACAGACATACATTCTCATCCGCACAAAATACATACCGACAGACACAGCGCACACAGACCGACAGACACAGGCACACAGACCGACAGACACAGGCACATAGACCGACAGACACACAGACCGACAGACACACCGACCGACAGACACACGGACCGACAGACACACCGACCGATAGAAACACAGTCCCGCAGAAACACAGACCGACAGACACACTGAACATTCCCGTCCTTCCACTCGGCGAAATGAGGCAAGTGAGGGAATCGGGGAAGGTTGCTCGACAAGTTATCATCAGCTGCGCTGCGCCGAAGGCGGTTTCCGAGATGGACTTGTGACTACCGCACTCTCGAGCAAGCAAGCGAGCGCAACACTGGTGAAGGCCTTGTTCCGGCGAAGCTCACCAACTCCACGTACGCGACAAGGGGGGGAGACTTGGATTTTCATGACGCGAGCTGCAATTACTGGTAACATTGGGGAAAATTTTATCTCGTAAATTAAAAGTAAATTATAATTTTGAATTTCTTTGTTCTTTTTATGCATGTAGCCGCAGTTATCTAGAGTGTAATTTCTGTTTTTATTATTATTATTATTATTATTATTATTATTATTATTATTATTATTATTATTTCTATTCACATTTA